AGTCATTGTTTTTTCATCGCCGTTCAAATTGGCGTGGCAATTATCCCTGACTGCTGGGCGTTGTGCAATGTACAGTATTGCCAAGTAAAATGAAAGTTTATTTAACACAGTTGTACTGAAAACAAAAATGAAAAAATAAGCAAATTTAATTTTCCTTAAGGAGCAAATGAATTTTTTTAGCTCTTTGTTCCAGCTCCGCTGTAGCCAAAATCCTTGGCTTCGCTCCGCTCCGAAGCCTTGGTTAAATGAAAATGTGCAATAATTTTTTATGTGAAATAGGGCCAAGGAATAATGCTGCTCATACACCACATCGAACATGGACGCACTCGTACATACTCCTACATGGCGTATGAGTAACATTTTCCACGATAATGTTTGAATTCTTATCATTCGCAATTCAAACTTGAAATAGCTAAGGAAAATTACCTCATCTAGAAAAACGATTAATAAATCCGTAATATACGACCCAAAATTAAGTTTACGTGTCTCGGCGTCTTTTTGTGTCATTTTAGCGTCCCTATTTATAGTGGTATCCTTACCAATATTATAAATCCGAAAGTGAGTTTGTTTATTTGCTAAAGCATAAACAGACGGCAGCGTTGATCGGGATCAACTCGGGAATTAACGGCAGTTGATCCGGATTAAGTCCGAGTTAGTCCGGATCAACGCTGCCGTCTGTTTAAGTTTTACACTTTCACGCTTTAACTACTCAATCGATCTTCACGAAATTTTGTACACAGGTGTCATTTAGCCCAACTTAATATATAGGATAGATTCAATCTAGATTAGACGAGGGGGCGTGGCATCTCCTATAGAAACGTAATTTTTCATACCGCATACATATCTCAGGAAATATTTTTGATAGAGTACTGGAACTTGGTATAGATATATATATAAAATCAATTCCATACTCATGGGGGAGGGTTGCCACCTGTTTAAAAAATCAAAATCGACTTGAATTAAGGGAATTATTTATTTGAAAACTATATTAACCCTTTCAGTGTCGAAAAAAATTTACGGTACGCTAAAAATTTTAAAGTTTGTATATCAGGAAAAGTCAACCCCCTGAAGATGAGAAAAATATTTTATTTTTTTTTTGTGGAAAGCTTATCGTTAAAAAGTTATACCTTACCAGATATATTTGACAGGGCACCTAAAATTTGTAAAAATTGTTAAAACCACAAATAAACAATTAAAAACTAAGTTATTCTGGTTAGCACATTTATATATTCTGAGTTTGAGAAATACGAGTTTTTACCTGCGGGATAGTCACAACACTAAAACTTAAAAAAAAAAACTATAAAAACTAATTTTGTTACAATTAATTTCTAGAATGCTACTAAACAGGAAGGTTTTCAAAGAAAATAGGATAAATACAAGATGAAAGGGGAGTTCATCAGTCGCATTTTAGTAGCATCCATAT